AAAACACGAGGACGAACTCCGAATTCTGGGATTAGGCGTATATACAGTTGTTCAGCATGTTAGACAGCAGCCCAACCCTGACATTCAGCCCCCCCCCTCACACATTACCTAGGCAAAGATATTCCAGCGGATCAGACACATCAGTTATCAGCAGTTTTGTCCCCCGGCTGATGGGGAAGGGCATAACCATCACGATACCAGGCAACTGGAGGGAGGAGGAGGGGGAGATAGGAAGGGGGAGGAGGGAATCTCAGATAAGCCACAAGGGGATAGCCAGACCACCCAGACCGTCCTTGGGGAAGGCAAAGAAAGGAAGGAGGGTAACTGCGAGGACTTCCCCCGCCGTCTGAAACTGAGAAACTTGGTGGAACGGGGCCAATCTGAGAAACCTCTATCGCAGCAGGAAGGGGTGCTAGCCATTCCTCTGAGAAAGATGGGGGACAGGATGGAGGCGGGGCTCTCCCCAGTCAATGGGGGGCTCACCCTGCAAGGCTGGAAATTTTATAACATCTGGTCCCTCCCATCCTTGAGGGATGAAGATTTCGCAAAAAAAATGCACCCCTACATCGGCAGACATTATCCAAACGGGGTAGTGGCTACCCTCTCACAATTTGAAGGGCTGATGCGGGTGGCCAATACAGATCTCTATATCTTGTTCGAAGAGGCAAAGGACTCAGGCCTTGAATGGTACAACCATAGTGAACTGATGGACCTGAGACTGCACAACCTCAAGGCCAACCCCTTTTGGTCGAAGGAGGATTTGCACACTGCCCTCACCAGGATTCTTAGAAATGGACTGCTGTGCACGATCGACTGGTTTGTTAAGCCATGGCTCAGGGTATGAAAAAAAAAAAAAAAACAAAGAAAGACATCCTGTAAAGACGGTGGAGTACATTGTGCCACGGGATCTGCATGGGAGGGCCCTTCTCCAGAAGGTCCTTAATCGATGGGCTAGCCCCCAGAGCTGAGGTGAGTTGAGCTTGGGCCTGATTCCAAAATTCCTCCGGTGCCCCTTCATGTTGTAGTTGCAGGCCCCTCATGATCCAGTCCGAGATCAGGAGGGGCGTGACTTCAGAGTGCTGTGTGTTGCGGTGTGTTACTGGATTATCCGCTCCCCCCGACAAGCTCTGCAGAATGTCTCCCTGTAATCTTCTGACAGCACTATACGCTTAGCACAACCTGGTCTAGGCAACTTCTCTCGGCCGACTTGGTTTAACCCACAGAAGACCCAGCCTCAACAGTAATGCGAGCTCATCAGCAATAAAATTCCCCTGGCCGACTGGTGATAGCAACGATTCCCAACATAACAGAACGATCCAATTGTATAGCAAATAATTCTCTTATGGTCGACTACAACGACGCAGCGGAGATCCACAGTCTGGCTTCACATCAAGATAGCAACCATAAGCTCCATATCTGAAACCAGCTGTAATTGAAGTCAGATACATTGAGGAAAGTCCTGTCATTTGCGCTTATAAGCCAAGTGATTGTTGGCCGTGAGAAGAAAGATCTGGACAAGCACACAGCCACACACCACAAACTCCTCCCACCCCCTTGCTCCCTCTCATTTGCACTACCCCTTCTCCCGTAAAAGAAGGAAGGGGCGTCGTCTGCCGCAACTCCCAAACGACCTCCATGGCCCACTGCAGGTTGCCCGCTTTTCATAGTCACAATGACTAGTTCAACCACTGGGCGCCAACCTGTTGGCAACCCCCCTTCGTATGGCACCGCAAACCCCGAGACGACCCCACATCCACTTCATTGGACTCCTCGACCTGATCCGAAATGGGAAGCTGCAGAAAACGACCAAATGCAACTGGGTAAAGTGCATCCTCATGGCTGCCTTTTTTCCCTTTTTTAAAGACCCACTGCTTTGCTATGTTCATGCTTAGGACTTGTGTAAATGGATAACAACAACAACGAAAGAAAGACGGGTGCAGTGGCATTACACAAATTGGCTAACCGTGGACGTAGGGGGAGCACAGCCTTTTTTGGGTCTTGTGTGTGTGTGTTTGTATGTGTGTGTGTGTGTGTGTGTGTTTGTGTGTGTGTGTGTGTGTGTGTGTGTGTGTGTGTGTG